TCTTTTGATTATTTTTTAACATATTATAAAGTACACAAAATCAAATACAACAAACCTATGAGCACTTTTATGAAGAGCATCATATTCAGGTCCCTCAAACTTTTTCAATATAAAATAAGTACAATAAGCTGTATCTTCTATATATTCTAAACCAGTTTCAGATTTGAGAACAGGTACACTAAATTGCTGAGCAGCAGCACCAAGTGCAGGGTCATCACCAGCTACACCAACTAAGCATATCCTTTTTTTACGTGGTATAATCACAGCTGAAATTAGAATAACAAAGTACATATTTTCCAAAACTTTACATTATTTAACAGAATAACATTATTAATAATATTTCATTGAAAGATTAGATATTTTGCAATCCTTTCATTATTATGTGACTAACTTATTATAAAACTGTAAAGTAGCTATAATAAATCTATAACTATAAAATATTTTATATTTATATATAAATGATTACATAAAAATGTTTCATGCTGTCATACATTTTATTAATAAATTAGCTATCATAAATTATCAAATTAGTGGAGGCCCAAATAACAACCCTAATTAAAAAAATGACTCAATTTTGGCCTACAATATAAATACATTAAATGTATAGTATTGACAATAAAGATAATCCTTTTATACTCATAGACAAAGAGTGCAGTAAACATCTATTGTTCCATGTTTAATCTCATTTCACATAATAGATACCAGACAACCCTCTTATTCCTTTTACTATCATATTTCAAATGCCCCATAAATGATTATGTACAAATGGTGACTAACCCAAAACAAAATAAAGATATGAATGAAAAGTATCTAAAGTAAAATTTCTCATATATTTACTAGTTCGTGATTAATAAGTACTTAACAAAAATGTTTTTAAATGATCTTACTTTAATATATTTTTATAAGATTTGCCATTCAACAATAAAAACAGCACACAAGTGATTTTTCCACATATTTATTCATCCACTTATTAGTCACAACAGATTGATGATTTTACTTTGGAACATTATTATGGTACTTAATACATAAAGACTAAATAACAAAAGAAATAATAATCTACATGAAATTTTTTTTTTTGACAAATTTGTCACTGAATAATCACAAAATTTTCATGAAAATGTTGTCAAATAAATTGTTTTAAAACATTCCTCGAATAATTACACTACTAATAAACAAAAATATTTAAAATGAATTTCTTACTCATTTATTAATTATTTATTGGCTAATAGTAAAAGCTTGATGGAAATATTTTTAAATGACATTAATTCGAAATAATAAACACTATAAAAATACGATAATTTATGAAATTATGTAGTATTTCGTGTAAAATAATGCATAGTAAATAATGCTGTCTCAAGTGACAGCAGTTTATTCACACATGTGATTAACCTTAAAATGACTTGAAGATAAAAATCAGAAACATTGTGCATTTAAAAGAAATATATAACGAACTGTAGGAAAAATTATAAAGAAATCTGAAACTAACAAATTGTTCATTTCTGACGTAATTTTGGAGAATAAGTCAAGGCCGAATTTATAAGAAACCGTTGACATTCCTCCCGCCTAAAGTTCAAAACATAATACGAGGAAGTATTGGGAAGGTAACGGGTAAAATATCTTGATTTATCTATCGATCAGGATGGGTGACAGATTTAAGACACGAGCATTGTCGCGTGAGTTTTGATAAAGAGTGAGGTAGGGTTAGTTCATACAGGTGCCTAGTGTATACGCGTCAATTTATAACGTATATGAGTCCCAAAGCACAATACTAAAAATGATAATATTAGCAGACTTACGTTCACTTCTAACTGCCTCTTCACTATTTATATCACTGATACTGCTATGAACGCTTTGCTCTTCCATTTTGGCCGTTAGTTACAACATCGTTCTGCTCGTACGCTCTTTTTCGTACTGATTATTGGGAGCGCCTCCTATAGGCGAATCCAGCGAGAGAAAGGACCCGGAAAAATAAGGGAGAACAGTGGGGCTCGATGGCGCAGTGTATAGCGCCCTTGAATTGTATAGACAAAACCCAAGTTCGAATCCTGAACAGGTCCCTCAGGTGTATTTTTTCCCGGATCCTACAGTGCATGAGATTCCTCAGATCTATATGTATATGTATACATGTACATCTATATGTATATATAATTGGATATTGGCACTAAACGACACTTTTTACCGTCGGCATTTATTTAAAATCCATCATGAACATGACAGTCGTGTGATCCAGTGTTTTCGCTAAATTCGATAAGAGTGTCATGGAGTCGCACGCAAACGCAATTATCAATAGCGCCGTAATTTTGGTACTTATCTCCGTCTTTTTTTTTCTGGTACTCTTCTGCTCACTTCTATTACTCACTGATTGCGGAGATGCTGCTTCTCTTTTTCTACCTCTAGCGCGCACACACAATGAATCTTACTTCAGATTGCTATGCACAATTCGCTTTATCGCTTATGAAGATTGATAAGTGAGGTTGAAATTTAATTTCAGCACGATATGGACTATGATTTGTATAAAATTAAAAAAAAATGATACGTATATGTAACAATTTATGATGAAAAACAGTACTATAATAATATTTCACGACCTTAAATATTGAAAACCAACAATAAACGACTGCCAGACTACACGCGCCGTTAACACCAGTATTGGCGTGAAGTTATCACTAATTTCACATATCTGTATGCTACTTTGCATCATGTAATACCAATTACATTTTCACCGTCATATCTTTAAATTATACAAATGACAATAAATGTAAAATTATATTATTTCCACGTGGACAAGCATATAATATAAACTTAGATTTGTGAATATACAACGAAAGAAATTTTGTTAATGTGACTAGTCTAAAATACATGCACTGTCAAATTTTGGTTTGAATATATGGCAGCATTGATAAATCTATACTATTATTCTTCGAGTATATACTATTTGAATTTTTGAAACAATACAAACAGTGATTGAAGAAATAATGGTATGTCATAATATATGTCAGAAAAAACGATAAAATTAACATTTAAAAAACAATCAAGCAATATATTTTTTACATTTCCATTCAAGTTAAGTTATGTAATATAATTCTTTTGTTCAGATCAAAAATACTAATGTTCTTAATTTTTATTACTATTCTCGATATAAATACATTACATTATAAATATATATTTATAGTTGACAATACAATAATTTTTTCACAATTGAAGTATCAATAATCATTCATATTAAAGGAGAGATATATATGTTGAAAAGATGCAAATATTTATACTATACAGTAATCATACATTATACATCTAAGGCTTGTAATTAATACACAATTAGTACTGTTTAATTCAACTTACAAGCAGCTTGTAAAATTTTAACGATCAACTTTTATTTTCTCTCCTATACAAGTAATATGGAACGTTTCTACAATTTGTGTTTGCACTGAGGTAATTATAATTTCAAATAATACGGTCCTCAATCTTTCATTTAAAGAATTTAAATTGTAATTTTAAATTTTTACATAATTCCAAATTACATAAATTTATTTCGCCTGCATAAAACTGTGCGTGTCTAACCATTATCGGATGTATACATTAAAAAAAACATCGAAAGTACTGTCTTATCACATGTTATTACACATTACTAATTTATGCACCAGTTACGATGGGAAGCAAATATTAATATACTTTAAAAATTTTCTCACATACTTTAACGAAATACACTATTTCGTATGTATTTGAATTAAAGGTGTCAAATGGAGGCACCATTGGTACGACTTAAAAAACAGAAGCGCTTCAATGTATACAACTCTATATACATTCCTCTTGTTTCAATAGATCTTTCATATTCCTTTAACATCAGATTTATATCTGAAGTTCATTTAATGTATGTTAGCCCTGGAACTATACACTATTAACAAAGTTGTTAATTTGCATTAAAAATTACATTATTCTGGATGCTACATACCCAAAGTAAAAATAAATATGTTTATCATACACTTTATCTATATGTTAAAAAAATATTTTATTCAATTACTTCATAAATATGACAATATTGTAGAATTACGTCGTGGTTTAAAAGTATAAAAATGGTTGTACCATTCCAGGGTTATTATATTTGCATATATTCAAATAAAAGCACCATTTTCAAAATGTTTCCTACTTTGACATATATTTATTTAAATTAAAATTCTATGTTCATTTTGATTCATTTTTATCAATTGAGTTATATCGAAATTTTATTCCACATAATTATTTACTAGAAAAATAAGTTGCAAATTTGCTTCTTTTATAAATATTCTTTGATTAAACAAAAACAATTATCTCTAAAATAATACATTTGAATTTATTCTATGCTATAGAAATCTGTACACATACTATCTTCTCGTAAACACTGAATACGATCAATTTTTTATTTAAAACAAGTGATTGGAAAATAAGTAGGTTAATCATTTACTTAAAAATCAAATTATAATTTAATACAACTTGCAATGAAAGCATTGACTGCAAATATATAATATTATTTAAGTAATTCATTGAGGTAACTTGTAAAAAAAGTTATATAAAATGAGTAACAAAGTAATCGAAAATTATTAAAAATCATTAACTGAACATTTGAACCACAGACATTTCTATGTAAAACTGTCTTTTGACTAATGTAAAACTTTTCATGAAGAATGAAATTCCAAACGAATGATAAAGTATCGTTCAGAACATAGGAGCTTATCGTTAATGATGCAAATAAAGATAAAATTCTCGAAAATAATTGCAATGAATGTCTTAATTAATCTATATGATTTCTGTACGCAATGTTCGTGCATATTCATAATCATCTAATTGTTATATAATAATCCATAATCGGATTAAATTTCTACATCATAAGAGATAATTTTATGTTGTGTATAGTATGAAATCATACCATAGAAAGACTATTAAGCATAGCATTATAATCCATATCAACAAATCACATAGCTGTATGACAATATTTCTAAATATTTTTAAAAAGATTGCACGATATTTTTGGTCGAAATGAAGAATGCTATTTTGAAAAAACGGGTTATCATTTGGAGTGAAAATTTTCCTCTTCATCGTCGCTATAGTCATCGCTTAAATAATAATTACTCTGCGAACTTTCAAAGCGGCCAGTCTTTTTTGGTGGTGGGCTGTAATATAAAATATATAAGTTAATTATACTAATTTGAATTAACGTATAATTAATAACTTTTGTATATTTCGTATCAGCAATCGATTTAAACAAAAATTTTTGTGACAGTACTATACAACTTATACACTATACACATATTATATACACAGAAAGGAAGAAAATTAAAAACAACCTTTAACAAGCATTGGTTAAGTTGTGTATCATTGCTTAAAAGTTATCTAACGTATTTAACAATGAGGTTATATACTAACATAACATGCTGCAAATGGGTGGTGTGAAGTATTGAAGGTTTTCATATAGAAGCAGTACAGAATGAAGTGGTGTTGCATGTTAGTCAATTGACTCAAATGCTGTGATGTACCTTGTCTGATCTTCATCATTATTGCTGCTATTACTGCCATTTGGACTGCCATCTCTTTTTGGACTTGCTGGAGGAGATAGTGCTTGCATCAAACGACCTTTACTTTCATTCCAAATTGTTGACTGTGAATAACAAAAATTATAATTTGTTTAACATAGAAATTCTTCTAGAAATTATATTCTTACTTTAATATTAAATAATAAATATGTCATACATATACAACACAATTATATTGTATAAATATCGACATATACAGACATTTACAAGTAAAAAATCATATTTCGAAAACAGAATATTTATTATAAGAAAACGTAAAGTTGCTGATTTAGGTTAGAAAAAGCAATTATATACTAGTTAATTCAAATATTATTTATTCTTTTGTAATGCATATTTCGCAATGTACCATTAATATTAA